GTTTTTACATAATCAGTGGTAACAGAATGACTAACAAATTTATCAAAACCAGCCATGAGAGAATGCTTTCCAACAGTAGTAGACGACTCTGATTGCGAAGATAATGAAGAGTGAGATGTATTTTTTGTCGAATGACTTGGTCTTTTGTACTCTTTGAGCAACTTATGACAAAATGTTTTAACCTTTTCAAAATCTCCAAAATCTAATAGAAAAAAATGTTAGGTAATTAGGTTTTACCTCCGGTGAGAACACGACGAGTAAGGAAAATGATTTTCCGGTGGTTTGGAGGCAAAAATCTGTTACCACCGATTCGGGTCGAAATCTATGCGAAAATGAGGATTTTGGGTTTGGAGGCGAAAATCTGTTAGCACCAATTTTGGATTCGCACAGAGACGCGATGGAATCAGGAATCGACAGTCGACTGCTTTGAAATGAGGATTTCCAATTTTCAGTTTTAACGTGGTGAATGATTTGATATATGGGTTAGGGTATAAATGAATTGGGTTGGACTTGTGGGTAATGAGCTCAATTTTTTAATTGGGTTTGTCCAAAAAAAAAAAAATTAAAATTGTCCAATTAAATTTATTTTCTTCCGAGGTGGGCGTGCGGTTGAAGAAGACTATTGACTGATTTTCTCTATTGTCGGAGCTATAAATTTTCTCCACTACAGATCCTCTTTCTCAATGTTTTTAGGCCTTCATTTGGGGAAAATGACATTTTGCGGGTTAGGACATAAAAATATCTTTCCCTTCGTATTTCATTTTTTCTCCTGCCATGTCACCAATTTTTTAAATTTATGCAGTCTCTGTGAAACTCACTATGTATACCCAGCATTTTTCTAAATCTAATGGATTACTATGGATAATTGCAAGTCAAGTCACCAATCTTTATATAACATAACATTTAGTCTTTGAATTTTCAATAATAGAAACTAAATCCATAGATTCCTCTGTTATATCATTTTAGCCCTCAGGTATTTTTAATTATAATTTAAGTCTGTGAAAATTATTTATTCAACTTAAGTCCTTATTTTTCTTTGACTTCGAATTTGACTAAATAATTACTTGACTTTAACTGTAAATGAGTGGGGTGTAACAATCTTAACCCTTCAAAGAATTTCGTCATCGAATTTCATTCAACCAGAATTCGAAACACATAAAGATATAAAACACACATAATGAATGATTTTTCCAGCAACCTTTACCTAGACACACTTTCCTTGTTTCATATCTTACATCTTATTTTACTTTTTTCTAAGTTGAGCTCTCTTTAACTTCACTAGTAATATTAAAGTTAAATCTCATATCTACTTACTAAGCCTTAGAAATAGACAATACATTCTTAAATACCAGATAAACCGATTGTTCACTTAATCATTAAACAATCGGACCCAAGTGCTAACTAACATCTCAAAGACCGATATATGATATTCTCAACTTTTCATCTTACCAATTTTTAGAAAAATTCAATTATTTCCCAATTGGAAGTTCAAGATACTACTTTTCGTGTTCTCCAAATCGTCACCTTATGTCATGATTTAAAAATTTTGGATTTAAAAAATAAAAATTATTCAATCTTAAAATTCGTTAAAATATAATAAACCTGCGTTTGGCCCACATTATTTGAAATTGTAATGGTTAGAATAATATTTTTTTTTTTTAAATATGCGTAGTAAAAAAAGATGAAAAAATTTTAAAATTACGTGTAATATTATTCTATTAAAAATATGTGATCGATAAAAAGGGAGAAAAATAAATTATCATTCTAATGAACCAATGAAGGGCTAAATATTTAATTATTTGGTCAGCTTAATTTCTCTCTAATTTACACATAATGTATGAAAACATCAAACAACACCTGTCCATGCCTCACACACTCCATCACAGCGAATATATCCTATCCTCCCCCAACTTTGAAATCGCGTCTGCATTTTATCCCAAGTCCCAACATCCAATTTTGGTTCCTCATGTTCATGTAAAAAAGGAAAACTATAAAATTTGCGAACGTAAGAACCTTAAAATTCTACCATAGTTGACATTTTCTAGTGACAGCTGTGACGTTTGGCGGTGGATGCATCATCATCCAAGGGACGAGCGTTTGATTGACACGTTAGGTGTATGATTTTGTGAGGATTATTGTTGGTCAGATTAGTGTAGAATTTGTCAAAGTTAATCAACGGTCAATATTACTTGAAAATATAGCCAGATTAGAGGGGGAATGCTCTCTAAATTTAAGACTTCGGAATCATCGGATTTTGGTATGTTTCCCGAAGGAGATGCATTTGTTATTCGATGATGTCACTCCCACCTCTTTATTTTGTCTTTTCCTATTATTTATTTAATTTTTTGGATCGTCATTAAAAATATATTGTGATATAATTTGTTACCATTTTATTACCATATATGGACTTACAATTGTCAATTAGAGTAAAAAGATTTTCAAACAATAACAACATTAATTTGGCAATCCGGTTTATTAATTTGAGTTTTCAATTTTGTAGAATGATAGAATAAATTCGAGAAAAATATTGAGCGTGTTCAACCACTTAATTTTAAAATTATAATCTCTTAGGCCATGCTACATTTATTTATTTAAATTGTCTTTATTACATCGACTCGCACATTTTCTCACCAAAGACTTAACATGTGCACCATTTTTAATCAATAGATTGAGGTTTTAGAGCTTGTTTGGGAGGGATTAAAACCAGATTAAAATTGAAAATATAGCCGTTATTGTTGACTTTTATTAGATGGGTGGGACCCAATAACGGCTATATTTTCAATTTTAATTGGATTTTAAGCCCTCCCGAACGGGGCCTTAGATTTGATCTTAGAATTTTGGTTGAAGTATAAAAGCTAAAATACTATAGCGATGACATTATTTATTTAAATTTACATTGAAATTGAAATTGCTCGAATAACTTTCTGTACAGCATTTCGATATATTTGAATCCCACCACAATATTGTCAGTCATTGTAGTAGAAAAACCTACTCGATATTGAACGACTATCAAATGTGTCACATATATCACACAATTTGATAAGAATCACCACGGTGATAATTATTCGTCTATACATAATTGCATCAAATGATATGTCGAAAACTTAAATGAAAAACAGAGATGTGGGACCCAGTTTATTAGACTTATCATTTATGGTCAGTTAAACGTTATGATATCACTGGTGATAATAAATAACATTATACATTTGATAATCGATTAATACTATGTAGCCAATTGGTGTTAACACCAATCCAAATTCAATTAAGTGTTATAAGTCCTATTTTAGATGAAAAATCACTTGACACCTAAATTAATGTTTAACTGGCCTCCATTGGGCTACATAGGAAAAATAGTATTAGTCCTGGTAATTGAAATCTAAGCTCTGAATTATTTTTTTAAAAAAAAAATAATTCATAAATTCAAATCTCGTATTAACAATCAAAATATGGTCGCGTTCCCTATGGAAAGACTGAGGATGATTAATGTACCAAATATTTACCATAATAAATACAATTCCCAATCAATAAATTCTGCTTTGGCCTTTTATAATTAATTGAATTTTGTTGTTGTAACGGTCATTGTTCACATTTAATACAGTAGTTGAACTGCAACTGAGGTATTATTTTTCATAATTATGATTACTAAATAATCTCCTCACAACTCTAAAAAAAACCCATAATTTCTTGAATAATGCTATTCATCCCCAGTGGGGTTGTAACCTCAATTTATGTGGCTTTAAATGATAGGCTAAGTGAAAGGTGAAATTAAATTACTTATTTAATTTCACACATCATTTAATGTCACATTAACATCACATAGACTGAGGTTGTGACCTCAGTGGGGCTAAATAGCATTACTCTAATTCTTACCAGTAATTAGCTTTTTTTTTTTTTTTTTTGGGGGGGTACTTTTACGGTTATACCATATGAACCTTTCGTCAAGTAATGTGCTCGACTCGATATGACTCGATAGCAAAGATGCCTCAAATGAGAAAACTTTGTGTTCTCAGGGTTGTATTTGCAGTAACTGGTGGTACGAGATGCATTGACAGAAATAGAAAGTAATTGAAATATCATCTTTATACAAAATTTTCTAAATTTGAGGGGTCCTTTGCACATGTCCGAAAAAGTAATTTCACCTTTGAGATGCCTTAAACTTTTCACAGCTCAATTTTCACCCAATCATGAATACATATGTGAACTTATCCAAGGGTCCGGAATTTTCTGCTCTACCACCAAATTTCAAAAGACTAAATTGACCCTCATGCCCTCTAAAAAGCCGCACAACTATACAAGTTATGACAACAGTCATCCCCAAATATTTATTCTCTTTTGTAGTCACATAGACTAACTCGCCGAGAAGAAAATTCTCTGATGGATTCTCCCAATTCCCTCTATCGAGATGAATTTTCCGTTAGGGTTTCGCGGTGGCCGATGGAAATCATGGCGGTTCGACCAAGCGGTGTTCGGCGTTATAATAGGTCGAAAATGCCTCGATTGAGATGGACACAGGATCTTCATCAATGCTTCGTCCACGCCGTCGAGCGACTTGGTGGAGAAGACAGTAAGCTTTAATTTCAATTATGTTTGCATGTGCATGGAAATAGAAAGTAGAAACTTTAAGCAGAAATTGAGTTGAAATTAATTAATTTTGTTTATCTGTTTTGGTAGGAGCAACTCCAAAAATGGTACTGGAGTTGATGAATGTGAAGGGATTAACAATAACTCACGTAAAGAGTCACCTTCAGGTTGATGACAAAAACCTTCCTCTCCAAGGAAGATTATTTTTTTTTTTTCCCAACCATGCTACAGTGCCCGATATGTTGATAGAAAGGTTGACATAATGTCACGTGGTATTCTATCGTTGGATAGTTTAACATACAGTCAACTTTTTCATAAAATTATCTGTCAGTCACTGTGAAAATCCTTGTGGCAAAGTGGCATAATCCTTTTTTCTTTTTAAATCATGACGTAACTAGTTTTTAAGGAAAAAATATATATAATATTTCAATAATTTCTCATGGACAGATGTACAGGAGCGCCAAGCATGAGCTGATGTTACAAGGTATGCATACAAATATATAATTACCATTTACAAAATCATATAAATGTATTTATACACACACATATATGTGACTGTGTGTATATATATTGCTTTTCAAGGATAAAGAGTGTATTTTCCATTCAAACTATCATCTTAACTTATTATCTCATTAACATTTTATGGGAAATTATTTTTTATATGTAGATTACATATACTAGATAGAAGAATTTTCAGAACAAGATTTGTCGTTAAAATCAAGATTTCATCTTCGACTTGCCATAAAAGGCAAGTAAAAGGATGTAAACAACGGATAAAAAATTGAACAGTGATGAACATTATTTGAGGGCACAAATTATACAAGTAAAAGGATGTAAATCAAGGTTGTGCTATTCTATAACAGTGATGAACAGCCATCCATACGGCAATGTGACTCTTATTCATTGAACAATATGGTAATGGGACGACTGTCACATAGAATACTGTTCATCACCACAATTTAATTAGTATTAGATAATTAATGTGATGAGGCACGCAAGGACAATTGTGGTAAACTGATTTTGTATTAAATCCACTTGTAATCGGCTAATATTATTTGTCACACGTTTTATATCAAACACGTCTTAACATTTTTCCTTGTATAAACTAAACTACTTTTGTAGCTGAATCTCATCGTACTAATCTTTTGAGAAGACAATACATATAGAAGAGGCAATTGAAACCTTAGTGCCTAACCTAGGGTTTATGTTGTCGCAGAAGCAAAAACAGAAGTAGAAGCTGCGGGCAGGAACATTAATGTGCAATCCCCTCGTTTGCACAATACAGCTCCCTTCAATTCCCAGCAAACAAACCATCAGCAATATTACTGCCATGGATTCATTAGTAACAACATGATCCACAATGAAAATCATGGGACTCGTTACGATTTGGAGATTGGCCCAAGAGCCACCACCAAACCAGAAATATGGTTAGTCAAAATTCCATCTTTTTAGTATGATTTTAAGTAGCATTATAGTTAAATTTCTAAGAAATACTAGGTATGCATGAATTTTGTCGATTGTTTGATCAAACCGTTTTGGAAATTAATTTGTAGGAAAGAACTCCAACAGAAATCAGATGAAAGGAACGGTTTTCGCCCATTATCATACTCCAATGTAACAACACAAGGATATGGACATGGATTCAATGTTTCGACTTCTATCATGCTCAAGGGCATTTTGAGCAGCTCCAATTCTCAAGTATCATTATTTTAATACCATGGATATTCATATATATAGACTGCCTAATGAAGAAATTCAATGGCTCTAACTATGCTTTATATTTTCAGGGTGTTGAGGAGAAACAAATATCGGCAGCAGTGCACGATGAGAACAGTTTAAAGTGGCTTCCAAATTCAATGGTAGAAGACTCTGTGGGTACTTTGCCTTTGAAATTAGCTTTAGAATCAACGGTTTCCACCGACTGTGCCAATGATGTTTCGCTCGAGCTAACTCTTGCTTAATATGTATGACATGAAGATATATAACTAATTAATGAGACAAGAATTTAAAACCTATAACAGACCTATGTAATGTAAATTTGGGTTTTTATGCAGGAAGTATTTATTTGAAGGGACTATTAGATCTGTTATATATAATTGATGTTGTCTTTATAGTTTTTAAAATGTGAAAAAGAAAATTGTTACGTCATCTGCACATGAGAGAAGTCCTCTGATTTTCAATAATTTCTAGATTTTGCCTCCTTGGAAGCTTGTTCATGTGTTCAAAGATCATAATTAACCGTTAGATTGCATATTGAATTATTTTTATTTTTTTTGCGAACTACCCTTCAATGCTAAAGTGAGAAATGAGTTGAATGTGTTTTTCTGAATTATCATTATGTATGTGTCGCTAGTGGTTCTTTAAATAAGCTTCATTCCACTTTTATATTGGAGAAGACATATCAAATGACCTACTCAAACCCTGAAAAATAGAAATTAAGTACAGATTTATTTTCACGGATTTTATATAGGAGACACTACCCTGTACTTATAGAAGAGTTCGTCGAACCCTAGTGTTTCCTAGGTTTCAACTTGTCGCTTCCTATTATCCTATGAAAGTACAGGAATTTTTCCCAGAATTTTGCCAGAATTTTGAAATGAATGAATCCTGTCCATGTGTGTATTTTTTCCCTCCTCCAATCTTTCATTCATTTTCATTCATTTTAAATTCCTGTAAGTTTTCTGTTAAAAAACCATGTACTCATAGCATTGCTCTTATCCTATAGTTGCTGATCCTCCTTTCCAGGCTGATTCTTGTCCTTTTCTATCATTATAAAATGTTGGAAATTTTCTCTCGCTTCAGCGAATGCTTGGTCGGAGAAGGGGGGCATTGTAGGATGAGCCGTGTTATATTTTGCGACTCAAATTCCATGTGAATTGGAAGTTTGATTTATGGAGGAATCCTAAATAATATTGATTTAGAAGTCCGATTTGATAAGAGATCAAATTTCATCATGGATTGAGAGTTTGATTGAGATAATGACTCTACATCATCCATAACTTCAAGATTTGACTCTTATAAATACTCTGCAAAGTATAAGTTCTTTAGAGATTCAAGATAACAATTAGATCATTATTGTATACATTAGAAATTTGAGAGAATTGTTTAGATTTAGATTGAGATAATCAAATCTTGTAAACACAATTTTAGTTTCTTGGTATAATAAAATTCTCATCTTCTTCCACAAAAATTTTAGTTGTTGTGTGATCCATTATTTTTTATATTATTCATATTATTCTCGTCTTTAATTATTTTGTCGGATTCTCAATAAGTAATTTAAGAACGATTCCGGTATCTTGTTTGGTTACCAACAAGTAGTATTAGAGCAAATGTTTTTTTGACAGTTTCTTGGGAGGTCCAAATTGGTTATTAAAGCGAGGTTCGAAGTAACGAAAAGATCGGAAAGCCCTATCACAAATTCTTGAGGATGCGATAAATGAGAAAAATGACACTAGGCTGTGGTTAAAATTGGAGTAGTTTTGTATGATAAAGAGTTTAACAAGAAAGTTACACTTATAGTGCTTATATTCTCATCGCTTGATAGAATGTCGATCTTTGGAAGATTATCTATCGGTGTCCAAGGAAATCACTCTGATTTGGAGACCATGTAGGTCAAATATGATGAAGAAGATATATGGTTGATATTGTTATGTTCGTTGTCGCCTTTATATGTGCCTTCTAAAGATACTATTATCTATAGTCGAGATACTCTTACTATTGACGATATATATGATGCGTTTTATTCTAAAGAGAAGATGAAGCATCTCATCGTCGATTCTGAGGCCCAGACCGAGGGTATTGTTATTCATAAGAGGAAGACATGTGATCGTGGAAGGGGCATAGCCAAAGATAGTAACAATGGTAAAGTTTGTTGGTATTACAACAATAAGGGACACATGAAAAGAGATTGCTATGAGTGGCAAAATATGTTTGCTACCACAGATTAGAAGGAACAATCAAAAAATTTCGATCATGTCAATCTTTTATAAGAAGATAGTGATGTAGATCTTTTAGCGATTATTGAAGGTGACTCCAAACCTGAAGAGGATTGGATTCTTGATTCGAATTATACTTTTCATATATGTTCAAATCGGGATTGATTTTATTCATATGAAACAGTTACAAGAGATTCCACGATAATCTGACATAATGAGCCTTGTAAAATAGTTAGGATTGGTAATGTCAAAATCAAGATATTTGTTGGGACGATTATTACATTTGGCCAGATTCGACATGTTCTAAGTATAAACATGAATGTAATTTCTTTGAGTACTCTTGATTCAAAATAGTACATGTATACTGGTGGCGGTGAAGTTTTAAAAGTTAGCAAGGGTACCAGGTTGGGTTAAGGGGATGGAGAAAGTCCCGATTATATGTGTTACAAGGTTCGAAGATCACTGTGGATGCAACTACAACTTATGGTTCAATAAGCATTAACTCATGTAGAGTTGGTTCTGATCGAGTTGTTCGTAGTGGTTCGAACAATAATATTGTAGAATCTTCAAGTAGATCAGGTGGAGCTTGTTATGATATCGTTAATTATGTTGCCTATGGCGATTCGAGCAGGTTTAACAACTTAAGTGGAGTTGAAATTGCTCGTGGTGATTCAAATAGGTTTATTGACTCGACTGGAGCTTGAAGTAAACAGGATGATTCAAGTAAGGATGATGCGCAGAGTAGTCCTACTGGTAAACAGGGCTTGGATTTAATTAACAATTGTTGAGTATGCCCCGACAGGGGCATGGTGGTGTGCTCGGAAGGGATATGGTGGAAAAGTTGGAAAATGACTTTAAAAGTGAAGACTTAATTTCTTACTATGGAGTTTGTGTCAAGATAGAGTTTGTTATATTTTGTGACCCAAATTCCATGTGAATTGGAAGTTTGATTCATGAAGGAAGTCTTAATAATTTTGGTTTAGAAGTCTGATTTGATAAGTGATCAAATTTCATCATGGATTGAGAGTCCAATTGGGATAAGGACTTTGTGATTAAAAACTCTACTTCATTCATAACTCCACAAGGAATAGGCTTTTTAGACACTCAAGATAACAATTATATCATTGTTGTATACATTAAAAACTTGAGAGAATTGTTTATATTTAGATTAAGAGAATCAAATCTTATAAAGACAATTTTAGTTTTTTGGTATAATAAATTCTCCTTTTCGCCCATAAAAATCTTGATTATTGTATGATCCATTATTTTTTATATTGATCATATTATTTTCGTTTTTAATTATTAGACCGGATTCTCAACAAGTGGTATCAGGGCGATTCTGTTATCTTGTTTGGTTCATAACATGCGGAGTACCTAATTCTTGTCTTGTATGATAGGTCTTGGTTGGACCGGCCTTTTCTAGACTACTTTGATAACATTGTGCGTGGATTGTAGCTTCTAAAATTAGTAAAATATGCCAACAATTAAAAGCGTCTAATGAAACGGTGTTTTAATTAGGAATAAGAAAGGTATTTGAATTGTTGACAAAAAGTATAATTTAATTTTTGCTAGTAATCATCAAAGAAATTGTTGAAAGTGTGGAATTTGGCTGATTATTTGTTGCATCGACTTAAGAATTTGATAAACTACTAAAAGTTTGAAATTTTATTTAACATTACTTGTCAACGACTGAAACCAATATACATAATATAATGAGATCAATTCATTCTTCAAAATAATGGCCAAGATCCCCCCTTTGTTGGTTATTGCTGCATTTCAGCCAAAGACATTCTTTCATCCCGGATTTTGGAGGGCGTTGTGGATTTGGAGGCGGAGCTGGAGGCGGCTTGTATTGTGAGGATGGCAAGGTGGTGGATTAGGTTTCCAAGGTGGAAACCTAACAAGATTAAGTGAATACCTAAATATAATCATCTCTCTGAATATAAGGAGATAACAACTATTAATCTCTTTTGTAATAAGAGAAATTAAGAAGGAAACACTAAGGAGAAATCAATATATTTTCTTCTGTAATTTTATTTATATCTCTATTCACTATTTTTCTTTCTCCCATGTTTATATCTCTATTCACTATTTTTCTTCAGAAATGACTACTGTAAATTTAAAAAGATTTCTAATGACTACTTTAAAGATGACAAGATTTCCCACTCCCGCTGGCTCCGAATGGTAAACAAGGTGAAAACGGAGAATATGGTTTTCACCCGAATTTCCCGAACCTATCTGTAATTGTTTTATTTTAATTTTATGTTTTCAATTTAAATCGAAGTTAAAAAAAAATAATAATAATAATAATAATAAACGCAACTATAAATAAGGATATTTTAATTCCATCCCACCTCCAAAAATCCTCAACAGACCGTATCAACTCCATCCACGCATGTCACCATCCTAGACTGAACAAAGAATCAACTATTGAAACCATAGTTATTATACCCAACCCGTACATTGACTCGGTCAAGGTACTGGGTCATTGGGTTACTGGTCGAACCGGTGAGTCATTACTTAAAAATTATCTAAAAAATTTTAAAGTATAATTTTTTTTTCTTGAGACAATTAAATTTTTGAAGTTATTTGTTACAAATTATTTTTATACCTTTAAATTAATATTTTTTGAACTCATTTATTAGTGATAATAGTTTATAATTTTGTATATTATATTTTCCCTTTTTGTGATGTACAAACCATTTATTAGTTATTGACCAATAATTTACGTGTATTATCTATTCAATTTGTTTTAGTTAAAATTAAAATTTTAAGACAAATAATTATATGACATTACAAAATGATTGAAAACACTGGACTAATTTTATTAAAAATATTTTCAAAATGAAACAAATTGTTCATAAGTTAAATATAGTTNTTCTTAGGTTAAATATAATTTATTATACAAAAGGACAACAAAGTGTTTCTTGCATAGGTGGTAAGGTTATATTCTAATTAGTTAGAAGTCAAGTGTTCAAATCTTTAGTTCCCTAAAATTTCAATGGAAAAAAGTTTTGAAATTTGGTTAAAAAATCAACGGGGCCGAACCGGGCCGACCGGCCCGATAATTATATAAAACTGGCTAATTGACCCGGTCAAATCCGATTTTTGACCGGGCTGCTTGCATTTATATTATATAAGCTTGCCGGCCCGGAATAGGGCCCAGGTCACCGGTTTAGAGGGCCGACTGACCGGGCTGGTCCGATTTTAATAACACGATTGAAAGTTTTGTGAAAAGGACTGTGACCATCAACTTATTATTTATTACACATGATACCCTTTGAAGTTTTTATTATTATTTTTCTTCTATTCAATTTATATTTTAATTAGGAAAATATCATATCTAATCCTAATATGATGGCGGTGAAGGTGGTGGTAGTTTGGGGTGTATAGGTCTTTGAATTTCAATGTAGTTATAAATGTTGAATTGGATCGAAATTGTTCACAGGAATTGGGTCTGCTAACTTCCGAAAGATTGTGACAAAAGTTGGACATAATATTGGTTGAGACAAACTTTGGCCAAAGTAGGAGTAAATATGCAATGGGAAGTGCTTATTGTATATTACAACTTACATAATCTTCTATAGGTTGATGATGTGTCAAAAAGAAGTGGAGTAGTTTTTTTTTTTTTTGCTTTGCTACAGGTACATTAAGAGCGTATTTGATTAGCTTTATTTTTCATAGAAATGTTATTTTTTTTAATTAAATTCCTACTTTTGAGGTGTTTGATTGACAATTTTTTCTATAGAAAATATTTTCAACTTTTAGTCACGTGACCATATTTTCCTAAAAAATAAGAAAAATATTTTCTTTAGGAAGATGTGGTTTTTAGGGAAATTCACTTTCTCTTTTTCTCTCCCATGTATTCCTTCTCTCTCATCTATCTATCAATAAAAAATAGACAAGTATAATATTTTCTAGGTTGAAATCTAAATCAATAAAACACATTTAATTAATAATTTACATATAAATAAATTTTGGACGGTTGAATTCTTTAGAATTTATTTTCTTTTCATGGAAATTCTATATTCATAATCAAACGCACCCGAAGAGTTACATAATGCACATGTGACATTATGTAATTGGTTGATGAAAATTGTTTAATTGTCACTAACCAATTACATAATGTCACTTATACATTCCTCGATGTAATATTTAATGTACATTTAGGATATTTTTGTTAATGAGATTTAGTTCCAATCAAATTTCATCACATCGTATATTAGTAAACAAACTGTAAATTGTGATGTACACGTAGAATAATCGATATGCAATTCACATATACTTCGTGGAAAACATGTCTCGTTGTCAATAATTCCTTCAGATTTGAACAGATTCGTTCGGTTTTCGAGCCATCGATTAGCGCTAACAAGTATTATTTGGCCCTGTCTGTTCAAGGGACACATGTCCCCCCTCCACCCACTCATTGGCTGGGGCCGTCTAGCACGGTTCCCCAAACAATTTGCACAGCCAGCCTCACCCAAATCCCTAAATTTGAACAAATTCTAATGCGCCACTCTCGGGCAATCTGCCCTTCAATAGGAAGTAGTAGGACCGGGCGGGCCCCGCATAAGTCTACCACGTTTTTAACAGATATTTTTCGTTGAGTACTCCCAAGCCACAATTTTTAGAATCATTCAAGAATCATATCAGATTCCAGACCAGAACTGAAATTTTAGAACAGAAACACTTTTTCTCACTCTCTTTCACTGGATCACTAGAAAGAAAGAGTGATCAAAACGAAGAAAAATGGGGTCTATCGCAAAGAAGGGATTGCAGCAGTATTTAATACAACTCCAACAACATCCTTTAAGAACCAAGGTTTTAACTTTCTTTTAACTTTTTTTTTTGTTTACTTTGTTTGTTTGTTTGTTTTTGTATTTTTTCCGTGTGAGGTGTTGTGTTTCGCGCGGGTAGAACATGTTGATTTATTGTTTATTTTGTATACACGATCTTGATTATGTCTGGGTATGTACTACTTTTGATTATTCAAGAAATCTTGAATTGGGATTTTGCAGATGATAACTGCAGGAACGATGTCAGCGATCAGTGATATAGTGGCGCAGAAGCTCACTGGGATTCAAAAAATTCAATTCAGACGACTTCTTCTCAAAGTGGTACTGTTATACATTTTTCTCCTTTCTTTATATGTGTATTTTTCTCCTTTAAATTGAGGACATATATGTTCGCATATAGCTTAGCAATTTCTGCTGTATTTTGGGGTTGGATCCATGATTTCTACTGTGAATGCTCCCCAATTGAATATGTTCAACAATTCTTGATTTCATCTGGCTTTTGCAAATGGTCTATTCTGAAAATGACACTAATTATTGCCCCCTTGTGTAGTAGTTTTATATATAACTGATTTTTCTTTCTTGATATAGATTGAAAGCTGTTAAATGATTAATCCAATGACTGGATAGTAGAGTAGATTTGTAACATTTTTTTTTCTTTTACAGTTCAGTTTTGTACACATCCTCTTTATCAAACATAACATGATTGTTGTCTTCTTACCTAAAGAAAAAAACACGTAGATGCTTTTACTAAATTTTATTTTCTCCTTCATTCCTTTCCTTCTTTCTCTTGACATAATAGCATTGATATCTCTAAAAACGTTTTCCTCCTCTGTAAATGAAAATTCTACAGAGTTTATTCTTTGTTTTGTAATCATAAGTATACCTTTGGGCTGTGTCAGCCCCACAATTGATAAAAATGCCCACACTGAGTCTTTATTGAGATTTTCTTCATTCATGCGCTATTACATTTCTGAAGCTGCTATTGCATAAATCCCTACAAACTATGCCAATATTTGGGATCATTTGCTGCACATGTCCACTATCTGCTTTGTCATCCTTCTATGTATTGAACCACCTCATCTAAAAATTTAAGTTTTTAAAGAGGGAAAGCAATTTAAATTTATCTTCAGCACACCCCTTCATTTGCTGACAAGATGCATTTCTCCATTAAATGTCATACACATGCACACGTTTCATAAATGAGTGACAACAAAACTTGAATATTTGGACCTTTCTCTTTTCTGGTACCATAAACAATTATTGATTAGAAATTTGTCTTTAACACTATGAAACTGAGTTTTACACATACTTGTTATTTCTAATTTTTACCTAAATGCAGATTTTTGGCGCTGCCTATCTGGGACCGCTTGGGCATTTTTTTCACATTTTGCTGGACAAAATTTTTAAAGGGAAGAAGGATACAAAAACTGTTGCCAAGAAGGTATTCCTCACGCCCCTGTTCTCTGATACTTTCTGTCATCGCTTGCAGATTTAATATTTTCGTATTTTAACATCTTCCTTGTCAACAGAAGTTCTTATATTTGATCACGGGTAAAAAAATTAGAAAAAGAGAAGACTGGAATAATCAAAAACTTTAAATGCCAAATTATATTCTTTCAGGTGGTGGTGGAGCAACTGACGTGGTCGCCTTGGAACAATCTCTTTTTCATGATTTACTATGGGTTGGTCGTTGATGGTGAGTCTGTCTTGCACCTTCCCAACTTGTAAATTATTTTTGCTAATTATGCACAAATCACAATAAAGAAAATTGAACAAAATAGGTTCTTTTCTGGACAATCTTAGTCATAGTTTCTACTTCCTTGAAAAACCTTCTTGTTGGAGAATCAAGTTTAAATGGCAAAAAATAGGTAGTCTGTATCATGATCAATACCAGATTCCTGATTTTGTGTTCTGGAGCAAGGTCAATATTTTATTTCTTATTTTGTCTTCTGTAACCGTCGATGAAGCTTTGGCATAATTGGTTCGCTCTCTAATTCTTCCTGAATTTTGTTTGGAATAAGCATATCAATTTCTTGACTTTACCGTTTTCATTTCAATCCTAACCTAAAGAAAATGATTAGACAAAAGGATTTTGCTTACTTGGATATTACAATATGCACAGGAAGACCATGGATCCATGTGAAATCCAAAATTAAGAAGGAATATCCAACTGTTCAGTATACATCATGGACGGTACGTGATATAATTTGATTTTACTTTTCGTACTTCACCATTGTCACCCTATTAATGAGTGAGAAGGGCAAAATGTGATGTGCCTTAGTATTAAATTGTACGAATGATATGCAGTTCTGGCCAGTTGTTGGATGGGTAAATCACCAATATGTACCACTTCAGTTGCGGGTTGTAGTCCAAAGTGTTGTTGCATGTTTCTGGTATGCTGTTTTCTCCCGCTTGGAATTTCTTGTGTTCCATTCTAGAGAATATAGTTATCCTCAATTTCACTTCTATATACCAGTTTTTATTTTGTTCTCTCTCTCATCTTCCAGGGGAATATTTTTGAATCTGCGAGCAAGGTCTATGCCACTAACAAAAGGTTAATGAAGCTCGTTAGAGGAGGAATGTGCAACAAGAATGTTTATGTAGACTATGAACACTTGACAAGAGTGGCATTCTTTTTTGTTATTTTTTTTCCCTCTCTCTTCACTTGTATTTATCTTGAACAGTTTAGACGTGAAATCTGAAATTCTGTAATATTGCCTCTCTGCAGGCCTTCCATTTATTTGTCCAAAGTTGTGGTAGTAATGACTCTTTCAAACTTGTTATGCCAATAGTCTGTTTTTTGACCTCAAAAAAGAGAAGGTCTGGAACTTGCAATTTCATATTTATACCCTATAAAATATTAGCTTGCCTTCAAAGAAAAGAGTTTATGAACCACCCATATGCAGCTTGTCACTAGAAGGGACATCTGTGATGTAAGAAGGATGAATACTCTTCCTATACGAGTGAGGGTGGCAAAAGAGAAGCAACGAGCTTCATATGCTTGAAAGCATGACTTCACAAGAAAATTCTTTCAATCCTAGAATATCAAAAGAGTACGAGCATGACAAATAGGGAAATGCAGTCAATGAATCTAGAAGACGTGTCTAATTTTTGAGTCTGTGCAAGAGGGATAACAAAAAAAAAAAATAACATATTTACGAGACTTTAAATAGTAACGAACTTCACGATTTGAATAGTTCAAAGGAAAGAAATTTGGTTATTTCTTGGGCCGGCCCACATATGCTCTTCTACATTTCTATTGGGGACATTACCATAAACCAGGTGTTTAGTTTTACGTTTTAAAAAATCAGGTTTTCACTTTATTTTTCCACTTTTCAAGTTTTTATCATTTTTATCTATCC